GCCATCTTGTATCCCTCAATGTCCTGTGCTGTGTCAGCCATCTTGTATCCCACAATGCCCTGCTGTGTCAGCCATCTTGTATCCTACAATGTCCCCTGCTGTGTCAGCCATCCTGTATCCCACAATGCCCCACCTTCCACCATTCTCCTCCTGCCCCCATTCACTGTTTCCCTCCTCCCCACTCCCACGAGGCCCCTTCACTCCCAGGAGGCCCCACCCACTCCCACAATGCCCCTCCCACTCCCACGAGGACCCGCCCACTCCCACAATGCCGCTCACCGCTCCCGGCCTTCCCGCAGGCCCCGAGGCGCCCCAGGCACTCCTTGTGGGCGGGGGCCCGGCAGCGGCCGCAGCGATAGCCCTGGTAGAAGGTGCCCCTGGGGACACAGGGGGACACGGGGGGGACACGGTCACAGGGGACACCACCGGCCATGCCCCACGCCCACCTGAGCCCACCCAGGACTGACCAGTCCGTGACTGACCCATCCAGGACTGACCAGTCCATGATTGACCCACCCAGGACTGACCGGTCCGTGACTGACCCATCCAGGACTAACCGGTCCATGACTGACCCATCCAGGACTGACCAGTCCATGACTGACCAGTCCATAATTGACCTGAGCCCACCCAGGACTGACAAGTCCATGATTGACCAGTTCATGATTGACCAGTCCGTGGTTGGTTGACGTGAGCCCACCCTGGACTGACAATATCATGACTGACCCGTCCAGGACTGACTGGTCCGTGACTGACCCACCCAGGACTGACCAGTCCGTGACTGACCCATCCAGGACTAACCGGTCCATGACTGACCCGTCCAGAACTGACCAGTCCATGACTGACCAGTCCATGATTGACCTGAGCCCACCCAGGACTGCCAAGTCCATGATTGACCAGTTCATGATTGACCAGTCCAGGACTGACCAGTCTGTGGTTGGTTGACCTGAGCCCACCCTGGACTGACAATATCATGACTGACCCGTCCAGGACTGACCAGTCCATGATTGACCACTCCATGACTGACCAGCCCATGGTTAACCTAAGCCCATCCATGACTGACCCATCCATG